AGGCGAGCTTTGCCGCCCTCTGGGTCGTGGGGGAGAGAGGGGGGGGGGGTCAGAGGGGGTGAAGTGTATTTATTTATTTATTATTTATTTATATTATTATTATTATTATTATTATTATTATTATTATTATTATTATTATTATTATTATTATTATTATTTTACATGTTATACCGTATAAGGTTTGTTCGTAGAAAGTATAATGTTCGAGAGAGGGAATTGGGTTATAGTATTAATGATTTATTTATTTATATCTATCTATCTATCTATCTATCTATCTATCTATCTATCTATCTATCTATCTATCTATCTATCTATCTATCTATCTATCTATTTATATTTACATATACCATAAGGGTTGTTCGTTGAGAGGGAGTGAAATTCGCAAATATTCGACTTTTTTCTTTTTATACATAATATACGTAAAGGTCGCGGGGGGGGGGGGAGAATGTGGTTTAGAGGGAGAAAAAAATTAGCGAATGAGTTAATTTCGACTTTTTAACGTGATGGCGGAATCTGGTAACTGAGCGTGTAATTATCAAATGATTTTTATACTTTTTTCAATTACATTATATAAATGGTTTATTATGACAAGGTATGTTAGACTGAAATTAGCGAGCATTTTTTTTATACTTTTTAGAAATAATATAAAAGATTCGTAGACACAAAATATGAGTATACGTTCACATTTTTTTTATCGCAATACTGGAGAAAAACGATAATAATTATTATATTTTTGTACGATAATTATCATATTTTTGTACGTAATAATAAAGTATTGTTAACATATATTGGAATCATCGAATAGTTTATTTAGGATTTTTTATGTCTAATACTTAATATAATGAACTGACATTGATAATGTTTCCAGTTCGTCATAAAAAATGTATGGTTAGACATAGTGAAATTAGCAAAAAAAAAAAAAAAAAAAAAAAAAAAAAAAAAAAAAAAAAAAATCTTTAAACTCTTTATATGATACTGAAGGTAATTACCATAAAAACAAAATGTGTAAATTGCTAATGTTTCGGTTTCATAATGAAAAATTATGCTTAGATAAAAACAAACAATAATATGTTTTCGAATTATCCACCAAATTACACAAAAATTTGCTTTCGAATTATCCACCAAATTACTAAATGTAATTAAACTGTAAAAGTAAGATCCCAAAGTTGATAATATCAAACCGAGATAAGTTTGAAATATCATAAAGTTATAATTAATATATCACTTTAATTTGCGTCCCATTTTGTTCACCAAATTCTTGAATCAATTTTACGATATAACTACATAAATTCCTAATATTACACCAAGTAATAGAAATAAAACTTACAACTTACTACCTTTAGCATTTCGAATAAATTAGAGAAATATTTTTACTAGCGCACCAAGATAAGTACGAGTCTTACTAACTAATATTACACCAAAATAAGTCGCAAGTTAGAAAATCACTGCAACTTACTACCTAAACTAATATTACACCAAGATAAGTTAGAAATATTATCGCAACTTACTACCTAAACTTGCTAATATTACTAAGTTAGAAATATTATCGCAACTTACTACCTAAACTTACTAACATTACACCAAAATAAGTTAGAAATATTATCGCAACTTACCACCTAAACTTGCTAATATTACAGCAAGATAAGTCAGAAATATCACTGCAACTTACCACCTAGTCTTACTAATATTACACCAAAATAAGTTAGAAATATTATCGCAACTTACTACCTAAACTTGCTAATATTACACCAAGAAGAAATGCCTTACTAAATATTACACTAAGTTAGAAATATATCTTACTACCCAAACTTGCTAATATTACACCAAGATAAGTTCAAAACATCACTGCAACTTACTCCCGTAGCCAGAGACTGCAACGACCACCACAAGAAAGGTGAAAAGGAACACTTTGTTGGCCATCTTCCTTTGCCTTGAGGTCTGTAAAAAGAAAAAATAAATAAATGAAATATTTTTTGCTTAGTGTTTTAGATGACAGTTAAATCATACAGGTAATTGATAACCTGTATATTTCGTCACCAAAAAAAGAAAGTTTTATTTTCTATATTTGGACGTTAGGTAGGTATATGTAATCTAACATCAGAAAAGTTGATAAAGTGTTTATTTCATGTCTATCATGCATATGTAATTAATTATAAAAAAAATGATTCACTGTATATCTCAGCAAATGTATATTATTATTATTATTATTATTATTATTATTATTATTATTATTATTATTATTATTATTATCATTATCATTGTTATTATTGTTATCATCATCATTAACATTACCATCATCATTAACATTATCATCATCATTAACATTACCATCATCATTAACATTATCATTAACATCATCATTATTATTACTATCATTATCTTTATCATTATCATCATTATCATTCTTCTTATCATTACATTTAGCGTCAATTCCGCACATACGATTGATATAAACCTCTTCAGTGCTTCCACGGGAGCGAGGCATGACGTCACAAAATTC